GGGGGGGGGGGGGTTGAACCCCCTTCCACACTTCATTGTTGCCAGGAGGCGGGATTAGAAAGGCAATGGCAACCATTCGTAACAGCGAGTCTGCAAAAAGCGAACTGTGAAGTAGCAAGGGAACACTGTATGCTGTGTGTTGTAGGTTTTTTCGGGCTATATGACCATGGTCTAGAGGCATTCTCTCCTGACATTTCGCCTGCATCTATGGCAAGGATCCTCAGAGGTAGTAATGCTTGCCATAGATGCAGGCAAAACGTCAGGAGAGAATGCCTCTAGAACATGGCCGTATAGCCTGAAAAAACCTACAACAGCCCAGTGATTCCGGCCATGAAAGCCTTTGACAATACACTATATGCTGTGCTTTTCTCTCAAAATGCTTCACTTTACCTAAAACTATCCCCAGGCAACCCACTTCCTCTCTTTCTTTTAACCAAATTAGCCAGTTATTCTTGTGCTGCCTCTTTTACCTATACATTGCTGCATTTCCTGTATTGCTTTCTCTGCTCTGAAGAGACTTGAATCCTTTTGGATTCAGATATTCCCCGTGCTGCGCTTTACCTCCTTGGTTGCCTATTTCTTCTCATAAGGATTTTAGGAATGTTTTTTCTTGGCCAGGAATGTTAACCAAATAACACATTTTGTGTTTGGGATATCTAAGTGGCGACGAAGTATTCTGTACAGCCAATTTACTGATGTGTAAATAATAATGAATACTACAGATTCCATGCCATTGTATTTACAATTTTGCAATGCTTTTTTTCTCCCTTAACTCGAAAGGAATATCAACCTGTCTTATATATATATATGAGAATATACATCCAAATGTATTTCCATATGAATTTCTGTGTGCTGTAAACTAATATTTTCTGGTGTGTGTGTGTGTGGGGTGTGTGTGTATATGTGTGTGTGTGTATATATATAAATGTAATGTTTGTTTGTGATACCATCAGAACTCAAAAACCACTGGGGCAATTGGCACCAAATTTGGACACGATACACCTAACAATGTATGTTCTCCACTCAACCCCCCCCCAAAAAAAACAACACTTCCCCCTCTCTCCCCCCACCCCTCTTAGAAAGACGTTCAACTGTAAGCCTCAGGGAGGGAGGGGGAGGGGGAGGGAAGGAGTGCACGTGCATGGCCAGCAGCGAGTGCGCATGCCCAGCAGGCTCCCATGGAGGCCCTCCCTTCAGAAGCTGGAGGAAAAGCCCTCATACCCGCAGGCCTACTACCCTGTCACTATCCTTTACATCAGGGGTCCTCAAACTATGGGGTGTGGAGAAGGGTGAGCCCCCCCCCCAAGAAGTGCTTCCCCAGGCAGCAGCACTCCGGCAGGTGCAGAGGAGGCCAGGCTCCCTCCTCCTCTCCCAAGGAGTAAACTTGCAACTGAAGGAAAGGAGGGATGGGGGGGTCACATTAGGTGCTGAGGGGAAAGAACAAACAAAAAGAGGTAAACAACACTTCCTTCCCTTGCGGCGAGCTGTGATGCAGAGGGACGGGGTGGGCGTGGCTAAGCACAGCTCTTCTTGAAGGCCACGCCCCCAGTGGAAGGAAGGGAAACTGCGAGATTTTAAAACTAACCTCGCAGTTTCCCTTCCTTGGGTGGCAACGAACAGCAATGGATTGCAGAGGGACGAGGTGGGCGTGGCTAAGCACAGCTCTTCCTGAAGGCCACTGGGGGTGTGACCTTCAGGAAGAGCTGTTCTTAGCCACGCCCACCTCGTCCCTCTTTGCATCGCCGGGCGTGCAAAGCCACATCCGAAAATAATTCTGAACAATGGGGAAGTTGTTTTAGTTCGGAATTGCTCCTCCCAATATTCCTGCATTGCTCGAAATTGGACCAAAAGGTAATTTAATCCGAATTAATTACGATTTTAGAAACTAACGAACTTACCAAAGCCTAATATATATATGGATGGAATGGTATGTACAAACTATATTGCAATCCAAGGCTGCATCTAAATAGCGGATTTAATGCAATTTAATGACAGTTTAGTTGCTATAGAATCCTGTGGATTGTAGTTTGGTAAGGCAGAGAAAAGTTTATGGCCTTATTAAAACTACAAATCCCAGGACCTTTAACTAAGATGAGGATTTTTGTTTTGAAATGTCTCTTGCTTTCTAAAGGTGCTAAATATGTGCTTTTGTTTCTCAAGGGGAACTTGAGAAACAAGTATACACACCCACACATACACACAAATACACACATAATAAAAGTGAAAATATGTATGCTGGGGTGTCCACTTCCACAGACAAGCTCCCACGTCCACAAACAGCTATAGCTTACACTATTCCCAATGACATTGCAGGTTATAGTGAGTGCAATGAATATGTAGCCCAAGCCCTGCCAATGTCCTCCACAAACACCATACTGCCCGTCACCCAAGTGAAGGTTTTCATACTGGGATTTATAGTTCACCTTCAACCAATGAACACTCTGGACTCCACCAAAGAGGGAATTGGACCAAACTTGGTACGCAGAGCCCCCACGACCAGCAAAAAACACTGGATGTCTTTGAGGAAAATTCACTTTGATTTGGGGGAGTTGTAGTTCACCTATACCCAGAGAGCACTGTGAACCCAAAACCGATGGATATGGACCAAACTTGGCACACATACCCGATATGCTGAAATTTGATTCCTGGAAGGGTTTGGGGGAAACTGGACTTCCTTTCCAGGAGTTGTAATTCACCCACAATCAGGGAAACTGTGACCTCCAGCAATGTCCAAACTTGGCACACACAACTTGACTCACTCAACCTACTGGACATAGTGGGAGTTGTAGTTTACCCTGCAGCCATAGAGCACACTGAACCCCACCAATGATGCATCCAGAGCAAACTTGCCCAACATAACAAACTTTAAGCACTGATAGGAATTTGTCAGGGTTAACCTGGCATGGTGGGAATTGTAGTTCACCCACAACCTTATGCATTTTGTACAATTAGAAACTGACTTTTTCAAAAAACCTGGGTACCCAAGCTAATAATAATAATAATAATAATAATAATAATAATAATAGTAAGTGTTGTCGAAGGCTTTTATGGCCGGAATCACTGGGTTACTGTTCTCGCTGCCTATTGTTATTGTTATGGTCATTTTAAAGCTAATAGTATTGTTTTAATCTGTTTCTGTAAACCGCTCCGAGCCATTTTGGGAGTAGCGGTATACAAGTTGAATAAATAATACTAATAATAATAATAATAATAATAATAAGATGCCTGCCATAGATGTGGGTGAAACGTCAGGAGAGAATTCTTCTGCAACATGGTCAGACATCCCGTAAAACTGACAGCAACCCAATAATAATGACGATAATGATAATAGTAATAATAATAGTAATAATTAGCATCACCAAATTCCTTGCAACCTTCTCCTTGCTCATATCATGTTGTTGAGGGATGGAAAACAAACTCATATTGCTTGTTTTTGTTTTTTTTACAAAAGGTTTTTATCCACATTTGTGATCCTGTGATTCGCAAAAGTGTGTTGGGAGAAAACTACACATTGCAGATTATTGTGCTATTCAAATTATATACAAATAAATCAGCATTAATTTAAAATATACATATTTGTCAGATGTGCAAAAATAGATGCTAACCCAGGTGCAGGCATTGTGCAGCCTTAAAAATAGAGGATTTTCTTTGTCTTGTAATCACACTAAAAGCACCCCCAACAGGTGGAAACACTTGCAACTAACCCAGGCATGGGCAAACTTTGGCCTTCTCTCCAATGTTGTGGACTTCAGCTCCCACAATTCCTGGCCTCAGGCCCTTTCCCCCTCAGCCTCTTAAGTTAGATGATAGAGTCATAGATCTAAGGGAGGCCTACCTTCATATCTCAATCAATAGATAGATATAACGCTTAAGCGGCTGGGGGGGAGGGGGGGAGAAGGGGCCTGAGGCCAGGAATTGTGGGAGTTGAAGTCCAAAACACCCAGAGAGAGGGCCAAAGTTTGCCCATGCCTAATCTATCCTCTCCCATTTTTGGCAGTGCTATTTCTCTGGAGATTCAGATTTATGACAACATCAAGGGCATCTGGTTTTGTGCCACAGCCAATATCCTTTCCTCAGAGCAAACAACCCAAACCATTGTCATTCATCAAGGAAGACATCCTATCTAGTCCTTAGAAGAAGAGCCACCGCTTCTATGATTCTGTTCTACTATTCTCGAGAGAAGTCCGGAAATGCTTCCCTTTTTATTATATATAATTCCTGACACAAATCCGGATAGACATCTTTCCAATACAAACGTCAGCCCATCAGTTGTAATCCCTGACCTCTCCATATTCTTTGGTCATCCAGGCCAACTTGACTGACTGAATGTCCTCATTCTGTTCAATTTTATAATCCCAGCAATACTCCGGGGATAAGAGTTTGGTGGGCTTGTGGAGCAGGTAGTACTTATTCAAGTGGCTTTCGTCATGCCACACAGCCTCCAGGCCCTGGGCTTTGTCCTTCTGGATGCCTTCATAGCACTCCCGGGTGAGGTTCAGGACGCGCATGGGGGTGCCCCCAAAGACGGCCCCGTGGTAGTAGAAGTCCCCTTCCTTGTAGGGGATGTAGGCGGCCGAGGCAGGGTTCCTCTCATAGGTGAAGAGCGCGTTCTCCTTATTGTAAAACCAGGCATGGAGCTGAGCCACCGACTCGTCCAGCGCCTCCACCCCATAGGGGCTTTTGAAGACCTGGTCCACGTCCATGCAGAAGAGGAAGTCCACCTCGTGGCGGATGTGGCTCTCAATCAAGTCCCCAATTATCTTCATCCGGATCATGCTGATGTCCTGCCACCGTCGTTGCCGCTGGACTGGGAAGATCTTCAGCGACCGCCGGGGGCCCAGCTCGATGACTGGCACTTTGGAAACGTCATCCACCATGATGTAGAAGATCACGTTCTGCCCGGCCATGAAGAAGAGGTTGGCAGAGCTCAAGAAGTTCTTCAAGTACTTGTCCAGGTACCTTGGGAAGTGGAGAGGGGGGAAACGAGGAGATGTGAGAAATTGTTGCACTCTGGCCTGGATTCACCTTTGCACCCAACACCACACAGGAGTCCAATAGTACTAACTAAACCAGGGGTTCCCAACCTTTTTTTGACCAGAAACCACTTGACCAGAGAAAAATCACTTAATGACTACGCCCCCCAACTGTATGAAACAAGGAAAAATATGGACTTAGATGAAAAAAATAAGGACAATTATGGGTTGGAAATTTAAAATATACAGTAATAATGTAAATGGTCTCAACTCCCCCAATAAAAGAAAAAAAATCTGGCACCAACTTAAAAAAAGCAGTTATGACGTGATTTCATTACAGGAATCACATATTGCACACAAGCACACTGCCCATTTAGAGCAAAAAGCACTGGGACCGGGGACCACTTTGACCACTGTTAGGAATTGTGGGAGTTGAATTCCAAAACACCTGGAGGGCCAAGGTTGGCTCATGCCTGGGTTAATCCAACTCCTTGTAAGAGATACAGCACATACTTATCCTCAAAGTGAGATATAAATACTAACACTAACGAAATGTATAGCAATACGTGATAACTGAAAACACTCATGTTAATGAAGGCAAATCAAACGAATCAAGTTAGCAAGAATTTGAGTCTTCTTTGAAAGAGAAAAAGCAGGATAATAATAATACATTTCATTTCTTACCCTCCTCTCCTAATGGCTCGAGGCAGAGTTAAAACACACCATTATAGTAAAAACATGAGGAATGGAATCAACATATAGCAGTAACAGAATGCAAATCCAAAACTCAGGATTCAGAGTTGAGGATATACAGTAGAGTCTCGCTAATCCGACATAAACAAGCTGGCAGAACGTCGGATAAACAAAAATGTCAGATAATACAGAGTCTCCTATTGTTAACTGTCTGACGCGGTGCTAGAGTTGGGGAGCGCTCCTTTAATTGAAGGGGAAATGCTGGAGGAAAAAGGGAGCATCGGATGAGAGCGTCGGATAAGACGGAATGTCGGATAAGCGAAGGTCAGATAAGTGAGACTCTACTACAAATGTGAATACTAATAATAACAAAATGAAACCTACTTCCCAGTGGCAAAGACTGTCAGGCCGACGGTGACGTGGTGCTTCTTATAGTAGTCCTCCAAGACTGATTTATTGAAGGTTTTATCCCATATGATGGGGGCCGACCAGTAAGTCAGGGTGGGAATCTCCGGCTCTGCACTGCAAAAACAGGAGAAAGACAGGCAAGGCTGAAAAAAACTGAAAATCCAGTTGCAAATATATATGGGAGCCTTCCCTCTGACTTCGTTGATGGTTTAACAACATAATGCTCCTGGATGCATTCCCAAACTATATTTCTATGCAATTGATCACAGTAGGTTACAAAACACAAATCCTTTCGGGTTACTGTGAGTTTTCCGGGCTGTATGACCATGTTCCAGTAGCACTCCCTCCTGACATTTTACCTGCATCTATGGCAAGCATATTCAGAGATCTATTGAAAATGAGGTAAGTGGAATAATATAACAGTGGAATAATGTCGCCTGCATCTGTGGCTGACATCTTCAGAAGTCTGTTGGAGGTAAGGCATGTGGAGTGTGTATATATATCTGTGGAATAATGTCCATGGTGGGAGAAACAACCTTAGTTTGTTTGAAGCAAGTGTGAATGTTGCAGTTAGCAAGCTTGATTAGCATTGAGTAGCCTTGCAACTTGCAAAGTCAATCAGTAAGGGTATTCGCATAGAGGCAAGTGGAGTGTCTATCTATCTATCTGTGGAAAAATGTTCCAGGTAGGAGAAAGAACCCTTGTCTGCTTATAGCAAGCATGAATGTTGCAATTAGCAAGCTTGATTAACATTGAGTTGCCTTGCAGTGAAGGTATCTGCATAGAGGTAGCCTGGCTGTTGTTGCCTGGAGCCATCCTCTGGGAGGTGTTCACTGGCCCTTGGTTGTTTGCTCTCTGGATTTCCCCTGTTTCCAAGTGATATTCTGTATTTACTTTGATTTGTGTCTGGGCATTGCACAGTTTGGTGGTTCCTATGTAGACTTGTCCACGGCATCATGGAATACGGTCGACTCAAGAATACCACTCAGAAGCAGGGGAATTCCAGGCATCAAACAACTAAGTGTCAGTTGGGGTTTGTTTTTGTTTTTGTTTTGTCGTGTCAGGAGCGACTTGAGAAACTGCAAGTCACTTCTGGTGTGAGAGAATTGGCCGTCTGCAAGGAAGTTGCTCAGGGGACGCCCGGATGTTTTGATGTTTTACCATCCTTGTGGGAGGCTTCTCTCATGTCCCCGCATGAGGAGCTGGAGCTGACAGAGGGAGCTCATCCACGCTCTTCCCGGATTTGAACCTGCATCCTGTCAGTCTTCAGTCCTGCCGGCACAGGGGTTTGACCCACTGTGCCACCGGGGGCTCTTAACAGTTAACACCTCCCAAACAAAGGGTGTCCTCAGGCAGCAACAGCCAGGCCTTGCAAGGCTACTCAATGCTATCCAAGCTGGCTAATGGCAACATTCACACTTGCTTCAAACAGTCAAAGGTTCTTTCTCCCACCCTGGACATTATTCCAGAGATATTAATACACCCCACTTGCCTAATTTCTGACAAACCTCTCTCTGAGGATGCTTGCCACAGATACAGGTGAAACGTCAGGAGAGAATGTTACTGGAACATGGCCATATTGCCCGGAAAACTCACAGCAACCCAGTGATTCCAGCCATGAAAGCCTTCTACAATAAATACTTTTTTTCCACCTCCCAATCTGTATGCCTCCCAATGTCCAGCAGATGGCGCCAAATGCAAATCTGGCCAACCTCCCATTGAATTCTCTCTTTCCAAGAGCAGCCCATTCTTGCACCTTCTTCTCATATATATATATACATACACACACACACAAACATACATACAGTGTTTCCTCGCTACTTAGCGGTCCACTTTTTGCAGACTCGCTGTTTCGTGGGTTTTTGCCTCCCAGTTTATGATTGGTTGCCGTTGCCCAGAGCGGCGTTCTAATCCCGCCTCGTGGCAACGATGGAGTGTGGAAGGGGGTGTCACCCTCCCCCTGGGGTGAGAGGCAGCCAATCAAGAGAGATTGCAAAGCAGAGATAGCTAGCAAAAAAAAGTGTGTGGTCCCTTTAAATCTCTCCTCGCTTCTGCCTCACCATTGCAACACAATATACATATATATAGCATCCCTACTTCACGGATTTTCACAATTTTTTGCCGGGTTGTGCCTGGAGGACGAACCACCTTCAATATAGTGAGAAGAAGACTATTATATAGGATATAGTTTTTTGTGTGGTGTTTGTGTGGTATTGTGTGTGTTATATATAACTATAATACTGTATTATTATCAGTATGTTCTGTGATCATGGGGGTTCTGTGTGGGAGGTTTGGCCCAATTCTATCAGTAGTGGGGTTCAGAGTGCTCTTTGATTGTAGGTGAACTATAAATCCCAGCAACTACAACTCCCAAATGTCAAGATCTTTTCCCCAAACTCACCAGTGTTCACATTTGGGCATACTGAAGATTCATGCCAAGTTTGATCCAGATCCATCATTGTTTGAGTCCACATTGCTCTCTGAATGTAGGTGAACTACAACTCCAAAACTCAAGGTCAATGCCCACCACCCTTCCAGTATTTTCTGTTGGTCATGGGAGTTCTGTGTGCCAAGTTTGGTTCAATTCCATCATTGGTGGAGTTCAGAATGCTCTGTGATTGTAGGTGAACTATAAATCCCAGCAACTACAACTCCCAAATGACAAAATCAATTTTTTTGAGTGAAGGACATACATTGGTTTGTTAGGTGTCTTGTGTCCAAATTTGGTGTCAATTCGTCCAGTTGTTTTTGAGTTCTGTTAATCCCACAAACAAACATTACATTTTTATTTATATAGATTTATATAGGACTTTTTTTTTTTGTCATGTTAGGAGCGACTTGAGAAACTGCAAGTCGCTTCTGGTGTGAGAGAATTGGCCGTCTGCAAGGACATTGCCCAGGGAACGCCCGGATGATTTTGATGTTTTATCATCCTTGTGGGAGGCTTCTCTCATGTCCCCGCATGAGGAGCTGGAGCTGGTAGAGGGAGCTCACCCGCTTCTCCCCGGATTCGAAGACTAAAGGCTATATAGGAGTAATGGCTGGGGATAATAGAGATTGTGGGCCTAATGCATCCATCCTCTTCCAACTGTACCTCTCTCCACAGTAAGGCTACAGACCATCTGTTATTTCAACGATTTCTGTAGTTTTTTTCCTTGCCGTGGGAGAAAAATCAATGATTCTATGCTGTTTTCCGTTAGTGTTTGCATATTCTGAATTGTTCTGGGTTGCAGAGAAATATATATAACGGAAGGGGGTTGCACAAAGATTTCTGTTTATTGCTGAAGCTTATGTGCAAAAAACCCCACAATTTCTGCATCCTTGCAAAAAAAAAATCACTCAAAAAGCCGATAGCTTTTATGCAAATTCACACTCCTCTGCAAGACAACAGCACATGAGTTTGGTTGCTTTTTTTGGAAGCCGTACATTTTGCACAAAGGGCTTGACCGCAAATTATGACACTCTTTGGGGCATGAATCCTCTGGCAAAGTTCCCGGCTTTGTGTTTTCTCCCTCCTTAAGGTCGCAGTGTGTCCGCAAACCCATTTTTGGCCAGGAACCAATCTGATACAAGATCCCTCCCCAATTATTCACAGTACGTTGGCTTTCAATGCACTTGGCGAATTCTCTTAAGTTATACATCTTTTTGCTACAATCCAGTCTTTGTTGTTGTGGCTGCTGCAAGTTGTTGGGTATAAATATTCAGGTTTTGATTCAGGCATAGGCCAACTTTGGCCCTTCAGGTGTTTTGGACTTCAACTCCCACAATTCCTAACAGCCTCAGGCCCCTTCCTTTTCCCCCTCAGCCGTTTAAGCAGCTGAGGGGGAAAAGGAAAGGCCTGCGGCTGTTAGGAATTGTGGGAGTTGAAGTCCAAAACACCTGGAGGGAAGGCTGAAGTCTGCCTATGCCAGGGTGAGAAGATCCCTCTTAACAACTCCAAAACAGAGGATGCCTCCAGGCAACAACAGTCAGGCTACCTTCACTGATTGAGCCAGGCTACCCAATAGCCAGGCTACCCTCACTGATTGACTTTGCAGCTGCAAGGCAACTTAATGCTAATCAAGCTTGCTAAATGCAACATTTAGATGAGGGTTGTGTCTCTCACCCTGAATATTATTCCACTGGTAGATATACACTCCACTTGCCTCATTTCCAACAGACCTCTGAAGAAATCTCTGAGGATGCTTGTCAAAATGTCAGGAGAGAATGCTACTGGAACATGACCACACAGTTTGAAAAACTTACAGCAAGCAAGCGATTCCAGCCATTAAAACCTTTGACTATACAAAATATAATAATAATAATAATAATAATAATAATAATAATAACAATGATGTGCAGAAACCTTCACTGATTGACTTTGCAGCTGCAAGGGGTTGTGGCATTAGGAAGGTTGAGAACCACTGCTCTAGGCAAATACCCTCACTGATTGACTTTGCAGCTTCATAGCATTAGCTACTCAATGCTAATCATGCTTGCTCAAACAGACAAGTGTTCTTTCTTCCACTCTGGACATTATTCCACAGGTATATACACCCCACATGCCTCTATGCAGATGTCTTCACTGATTGACTTTTCAACTTCATAGTTACTCAATGCTAATCATGCTTGCTCAAACAGACAAGGGTTCTTTCTTCCACTCTGGACATTATTCCACAGGTATATACACACCCCACTTGCCTCTAGGCAAATGCCCTCACTGATTGGCTTTGCAGCTTCATAGCTACTCAATGCTAATCAAGCTTGCTAATTGCAACATTCACATTTGCTACTAACAGACAAGGGTTCTTTCTCTCACCCTGAACATTATTTCACAGGTATTATACACTCCACTTCCTTCACTACCTCTATGCAGATACCCTCACTGATTGACTTTGCGGCTGTAAGAGAATTAAATGCTAATCAAGCTGGCTAATTTCAACATTCACATTTGCTTCAAACAGAAGGGTTCTTTCTCTCACCCTGAACATTATTTCACAGGTATTATACACTCCACTTCCTTCACTACCTCTATGCAGATACCCTCACTGATTGACTTTGCAGCTGCAAGGCAACTCAATGCTAATCAAGCTGGCTAATTTCAACATTCACATTTGCTTCAAACAGAAGGGTTC